ACAAGGGGAAGAGGCAGACATCAGGTGCTGTATCACTTCTGCTCACTGAGGAGTTGGGGAAAGGAACTGAACCCTGACTGGAGGGGATGGGAGGGCTTTTAATTTATTTCTCTTTCTTTTGAGGCTTCCCCTCTGAGCCAGTTTTCATTTCCTCCCCTGTGGCATTAGCCACTCCCTGCCTCCCACCCTGTGCCCACAACTGGGAATGTGGGCTGGGAGCAAAAGGAGAGGGTGGGACCGAGTTTTGCGTGGTTGGTTTTTTATTAATTATCTGGATAACAGCAAGAAACTGAGAATAAAGATTGAGAGAGAGATCTTGGTCCTTTCTGGCTGCACTGGTTAAGGAGTTGAAGCAGTTCTTCCTCAGGCAGTCTGCTCTGAAAGGCTCAGGAGCTGGCCAAGACAAACCCCCGCCTTCCTTTCTGCAGCGCTCAGAGGATTCCATTGCTCATTCCTCCTTGTAGCAAATAACCTTATCTGCAGCTCCCCATCTGGCCAATCCCAGAGGATTAGTGGGTCCAGTTTCTGTATAAATTAGGGGGCAGAGGCTCTACAGAGGTTCCTTATCGCTGCCGATTGAGGCCTGGGCCCAGGCGATTGTCCTCACAGGAGCCTGGTTAATGACAAGGAGACAGGCAGGCTAGTTGGCTGTGAACTGTGGATTTCTGGGGCTGCCTCCAGCTTGGAGTGGGTGATGGGCACTGTAGAGACTCGACACTAACCTGACAATAAGTGGAACACAGGGATCGGGGAAGGGTACCAGAAAAAAGGGTAGTGATGTGTGGGTAGCTGGGACAGTGTGGGAAGAGTGAGTGTTGGAGAAGGTTTTGGGAAAAGAGAAAACTAAACTGGGGAAAAGTGTCTGAAAGAGTCGGAGCCAGCTGCCAGGGATGGGGGTCTCAGCAGACGGGCATGAGGACTCACAGGCACCTAGCCTCTCCTCCAGCAGCAGCACTTGGTCGCTGAGAGACTCGATTCTGTCGTGCCCGCCCCACAGCTCAGCCACCTGCTCAGGTCGCAGCTCTTCGGGTGGCATAGGCAGCACCGCTCGGACCCAGGCCCCAGCCTGACCGGCCCACTACGAAGAAAAAGAAGCCTTGGGGTGCTGGTGAGGGGCGGGAACCCTGCGGTCTTGGCCCCAGGTGCCTAGGCTCACCTGCTCCAGCCGCTCCAGCCGTGCTCGAAGCTCACGGACCTCCCAGCTCAGGGCACTCTCATCAGGTTCTGCTTCTCGAACTGGGACGAAGGAGGACTTGACCACAGCCCCGGCCCTGCTGCCGGCCCAGGCCCTCCCCTCGGCTCATGCTCCCACCTGCTCACCTGCCACGCTGAGGATGCTGGCACTGGTTGGGGTCTCCAGGTCCCCCTCTGTGCAGGTGCGCCCGTTGGGGCCCAGCACCAGGCCACGGGGACAGCCACAGGTGAAGCTGCCTGCAGTGTTGAGGCAATGGTGCGAGCAAAAGGTGACGCCAGCCCTACATTCATCCACGTCTAGTTACAGGAAAGAGGCAGGGGCTGAGTGGGTGGGGGTGGGAGCGGGCGCCCCCCGTGGGTAGGGAGGCCCTGGAATCTCCGCGCAAGGAGGGCAAGCTGACTCACCCACGTGACAGTGCTTCCCCCCCCAGCCCGGGGCGCACTCGCACTGCTCTGGCCCAACGCACACGCCGCGGTTCAGGCAGGGCTTGGCACAGATGGCTGCGGGAGGAGGAAGCGGGGTTCAGACCCGGATCAACAGCCCGCTACCCACCCCCAGGCCTGGGAAGACCCAGGTTCACCTTCGTCACAGGTGAGCGCCCCCGGATGCCGCTTCTTCCAGCCCTGGCAGCACACGACGTGGGGCTGCTGCACCTTCCTCCTCACCTCCCGCCACGCCACGCGGTACGTGGTCCTGGAACACAGGGCCCAGCTGGAGATTGGCATGTGGGTCCTGGCCTGGGTTCTTAGGGTTCCCCTTGAGAAACCTCAGAGTCCAGACTCCCCATTCCCCCACCTGTAGGTGCTGCAGATGCGCCTTCCTTCGCACAAAGTCAGGTAGGGCTTATACACCGGTTGGCTGTAGGACTCGTTATAACGGAGCGGGACCACCAATGTTTGCTTGGAGCAGATCCCCTGGCTGCACCCATGCAGGAGAAAGGAGAGAATTGAGTGGGCCAGGCCCTGGAGAGCCAGGGGTCCCACTTCCCTCAAGGCTCTACTGAGGTCCAGCCCTCCCTCGAAGTGACAGCCTCATCCCCATTCTAAGCATAATTTGTTTTGCCCCCTGTGAAGCCAAACCGCCTCCCCAGAAGGTTTCATGAAGCCTTTGTCCCTGGTCCCGCCCCCTCTGTTGTCACCTCTCTTTGAGGGGTCCACCCTTGGCCCCCTCGCCTGACATCAGTAGCAGGAAGAATGAGAGTCCGGCTAGGAGAGTGCACAGCTCATCCCTGGACCCCATGATTCTCCTTGACTCCAGGCTCTGCCAGCTGCAGGCAAGAAGCGGTTAAAGGAGGCCCTTCCCCTGTCCTAATGGACTTTTCCAGCTCCAGTCCCTCCAAGAGCAGTCTGCTGGTGCCCTTAAAGGGCAGCAAAACGTTGATTTGTACACACTTGCACTAGCCACTAGGATCATCTGCATCTGTGTGTACACTGAACTAACACCACCCTTTCCTTCAGCACATCAGTCACATCCTAACACCCTCCCTGCAAATCCCCTCCAGACACATTAACCTCCCCTCGTGACCCTCTCTAACATGATCAATCTCTAACATCTCTAACTAGCCCTCTTCTACCTTAACTTTCCTACCTTCAGAACTTCAGATATTCACCATTACACTCCTCATACCTCACACACAAACCCATGCACCTGGCAGCCTCACACCTTAAACACATTCCTACTACCCTCACATACTCACACCTCTCCCTCCCACAGCACCCCCCAACTCACACTCGCTCTAAGGCTCTGAGCAGCCCCTACCCTTTCCCCGCTGACTTCCTCTCCCCACCTGTCTTTCCCTCTCCTGGAGACTCCAGGCAGACCAGTCTCAGCAGCAGCAACTCAGACTGGTGGGCGGGCTGGGCAGCAGCAAAGGAGAGGAGGGGCTGGGCCACACAGTCCTCCCATTCCCGCCCCCTCCCTCAGGCCTCCTCCACAGCACCAGCTTGATCTGCTCAGTGGGGTCCGAGTCCCACTACCCTCACTACCACCCCGGCAAAGGGCCCCCGAAAGGTATCTTCCCAACCCTCTGAGACCCCTTAGTTCTGGAACCCCCAACTCACCAAAGGCTGCTGCTGCTTTAATATCCCCAGTATCCCTGGCCCTTGCCCACCCACCTTCAATGAACAAATTCTGGGGGAGTATTGAGGGTCTGGAAATCAAAGCAGAGAACAAAGCAGGATCAGACCATGGGAGAAGAGGCAAGATCAGCTGAGGAAAGGAGGGCAAGTCATCACAAAGGAAGCAGGGGTGGGCAGCCCAGGGCAACAGGGGAAAATTGCCCCCATTTCTTGATGACATTTGTCAGGGCCTAGAGGGGAACAGAGTTGAGTCAGCCACCACCACCCCCATACAGAGCAGACAGGGCCCTATTGTCTCCACCGAAATTCCTCCTTTCAAGGAAGAGGAGGCTCATTGTCCAGCCCCTCACCCAACTCTGGCCTACAGAGTTCGACAAAGGTCAAAAAGGGGTGCAACAAATGCCCACCCTGACCCTTAGCCCCCTTGTCTAGCCTGGGGGTGGCAGGCGCATTCCACCCATGAGGCTGGGGCACAAACCACTGGAGCCCTGGGTTCAGCCCCCCAATCTTAGGCTGTGACAGGAAGAGAATTGTCTTCAGCAGGAAAGAACCCACAGAGAATCAGGAACCCACATAGAATGGGTATTGAGAGAACGGAAACACCAAGGGGGTCCCACACCAGACCAGGCATCTGGGCACCCAGGCCTCAGGCTCTCCATCCCCACCCTCCTTGGGGAGCCAGGTGCCCCTCACCTGGAAATAAGCCAAGCCACACTGAGGAAATTGAACTTTATTTCCATAAATACAGGGGTTAACATCCATTCAAGGGTAGCTAAAAGAGGGGCTGGGGCCTTGAAGAAACTAGGCTCCCAGGTGGTACCCCAACACTGAACATAGGGACTGGGGGATCCCCAAACCTGAGATGGGCCTCGCAGGCCACAGATATTCCCCAACACTAACACTTCAAGAATGGAACTGTCCCCATAGGGGAGCCTCAGAACCCCACTTTCATGGGTAGACTTTCCTGGGGTTAGGAGGGCTGATGAAAGGGGAGTTCAGAGGAGAAGGGCACATGGGGAGAACAGAAACTAACAGTGTCCTGAGTGGCCTGGAAGGAGACCCCTGTGGCAGGCAGGGGCTGGATTCTCCTCCGATACATCCAGAGATGGAGCAGCAGCAGGAGGACCCACAAGTTAAAAACCTGGTTTCTCACTTCGCAACCTCAGCCTTCAGAGGATGACAGAGGATGGAGCAACCCCCAAAAGAGAGAGCATGAGGTGGGAGGAGACCAGGATTTGTCATTCATGAAGGAGCAGAGGGGATCCTGGGAGCCCTGGCTGGTGGAGCAGTGTGGGAGCAATGAGGTGGTCACAGGCACACCACAGCCTGACATCTGTTTTCCACGGCCACCACTTGGTCTCTGGGCTGGGGAATTCCTGAGGGATTCCTGGAAGTGTCCTCAGGACAGCCAAGGTTCAATGCAGGTCTCATAAAGGGTACGGTTAGAGTGCCAGGCTGTGTGGGATATCCCAGCCATTGGACACCTCACTATCGCCCCCCGGGCCAAGAGAGTCTTCAACCCAAAAGAATCCCGCAGATAAACCTTTAGGGTGGGAGAAGGGACATGGAAGAAAGACACAGTGAGAGACAAAGTGAGTTCCTGCTGGTGTCCCAGGCCCCCTCCCCACGGATGAACCCTTCAGCTCACGGGTCAGGCAGCAGGCAGGGAAGGCTACAGACTGAGGTGGGCTAGTGCAAAGAAAGGGAAAGTAATTCCAGGGGCTTACCAGTTGCTCCTCCATCTCCAAGACCGTCTCATTTTCATCATAGAACCCAAAGAAGCTACAAAGAGATGGGAGCAAGTGGGGGCGGGTTACCAGGAGAGCTGCAGAAAATCGAGGTGGGCTAGGGTCCTTCAGGAAACTCACAGCTTGATGAGGAGACAGGCAGCAAAGAGGACATTCACAATATTTAACTTCCAGGGGGCAGAATCATGAGATACCATATACTTCATGAGCTGACGCACGGGAGATGGCAGCACTTCTGCAGAATTCCCATCAAAAACATATAACCTGAATCTAATCATGAGGAAATAGCAACAAACCGAACCTGGAGCACATTCTACAAGGCAGCTGGACCATGTTCTTCAAAAATATCAATGTAATGGACAAAGACTGAGAAAGTATTCCAGATTAAAAGAGACTGAAGAGACATGATAACTAAATGCAATGCATGTTCTTGGGCTGGATCTTGCACTGGATTTTTTTTTCTGTAAGGACAATTGAAAAAATTTGAGTCAGGTCTATCGAGTACCACATCAATGTTAACTTCCAGATTTTAATAATTGTATTGTGGATATGTAAAAGAATATCTTCAATATAGGAAATGGACACTGCCAAGCTGAAGTTTTAGGGGTAAAGAGACATGTCTGCAACCTACTTTAAAAGGGCTCACATACACACAGACTATATATATAGGATGCTAATGTAAACATGGTAAAAAGTTAACATTTGGGAAATGTAGGTGAAGAGTATACAAGATTGCTTTGTATTCTTTGGTGACTTCTTAAGCATGAAATTATTTCAAAATAAAAAGGTCTTAAAAAATTTTTAATGAATATTTAACTGGCATGGGCACTGAGTGAACACTGGCCATGAATAACTGAACAAATGCTAATAGCGTTACGCCCAATAGGCTATGAAGCAAAGAGGACAGGCCACTGCTGTCCTCTTTGGACATCAATATGATGTCCTATTTGGAGCATCAATAAAGGCTTCCCAGCAATGACCCCTGGACTGGGGAATGCTGTCCCAAGTAAACAGAACAGCAAAAGCACAGCAGTGAGGCACAGCTAGGTACATGGGAGAGCTGGGCTGAGGCCATGTTCGAGGAACTAGATTTCCTAAGATGTAGGAGAGCAGTCGGGGCACACAGACGTGGATTTGAAGTCCAGCTCTGTTGAACACTCTGCACTGTGAAGGATTGAGCACATTACTTATCTTCTTTGTCCTACATTAAAAACACCTCCTCTGTAGAGAGGAAGTAAAACATTGTGGTTAAGTCAGCCTGACTTCACCACTTACTAACTCTCCGAAGGTAGGCGAGTTATTTCCTCTCTTTGCACCTAAGGTTCCATTCATGTCAAGTGAGGATAATAGTAACTATTGTGAGGATTAAATGATTTTTATTTTGAAAGTACTTAGGATAGTGCCTTGGGATGTAAAAGGGGCTATCTAGCCATGAGCTGTTACTATCTTCATGGGTTAAAAATGAGATATAAATGAATCCCATCCCTTACTATTATATGGGATGTTACTCCTTTCAATCAAAACCCTCCAATGTCTTCCCATGTCAGAATAAAAAATCAAGGACCATGGTTGCCCAGGATTAGGGGGAGGCAGGGTCAGGGAGTTAAGTCTAAGGGGTGTGGAGTTTCAGTCTGGGAAAGGAAAAAGTTCTGGAGACAGGTGGTGGTGATGATTACACAAGAATGTGAATGTATTTAATGCATGGAACTGAACACTGAAAATGATAAATTTTATGTATATTTTAGGGAAAAAAACTCAAGGGCCTTACTTTGTCATACAAAGGCTCAATAGACCTGGCTCCCTGCTATCTCTTTCACCTCCTCTCCCACCCTCTCCCCAGCTCCCTGTACTCTAGCCATACTGGTCTCCTTTTCCTCACACCTGCCCCGCCGGACCTTTGCAAGTACTACTCCTTTACCCTCGGTCATCTTCCCCAGAGTGTTACACTACTCCTTCCCACACTTCCCTCAGTCTCTGCTCAAATGGCAACTCTGGTCCAGGAAGACTTCTTTGGCCATTGTCTAAAATTAGGCTCCAGGCATCCTCTGATCCCTTCCCCTGCCTTGTTTTATTAACACCTGATATGTATATCTATATTTATTATCTCTCCCCCCCACTGCAATGTATGCTACATAACAGCAAGAACTTCTCTGTCATTTACCACTGCACCCCCACAGTCCAGAACAGTGCCTGAGCATGCAGTGCTTAATAAATATTTGCTGAGTGACTAAAGTAGTTCAGGTGACATTTCGATCACTCATGATGACCTGCAACAGAGGCATAAACACAGTGTGATAGAGCCATGGGTTATCCTAATGAATAAGATAGAGGGGACAAGCCTGGAGGTTATTACAGAAGTCCAGGTACATAAAAGAGGTGGTAGGAAATGTGATAAAATGAAACTATACACACATGTGGTACCAATGTCAATTTCCTGGTTTTGTAGTGTGCCATAGTTAACACAGGATGCAATCATTGGGGAACCTTGACAAAGGATACACAGGGCCTCTCTAAACTATCTTTGCAACTTCCTATGAATTTTGTTGTTGTTGTTATCATTAATCTACAATTACATGAAGAACATTATGTTTACTATGGTCCCCCCTTCACCAAGTAACTTCCTATGAATTTGTAATTATTTCAATGTTATAAGTCTTTACAAAGCAGGGGTAGAAGGGATAAGAAGGAAGTACAGTCAGCAGGATTTAGTGACTGGCTAGACACAAGAAGTTGGGGAATGACTCCCAGGTTTTGGTCGTGGGTGACAAGATAAATGGAGGGTGGGTGCATTAACTGAACAGTGGGAAAGAAAGGCCAGTTTTAGGCATGAGATAAGGATTGGTGGAGACAGCAAGGGTGTCCTCAGCCAATCTTCGAGCCATATAGTCCCTTATTACCTGGACTGCCAAGGAGTAATAACACCATCATCAGGGCCCCCAATCAGCACCAGGCGGCCCACACGAAGAAAGTTCTTCCGCCATGCTGCAGGGTGGGAATAAGAGAGGCTGAGTTAGTCACAGGGGTCAGGCCAGGTTGGAAAGGGCAACATAGGGAGTCAGAAATGCAGAAAACAGGACCCACGTAGGAGCCTGGGGTCTTACCAGTGGCATTAGGATGGTCCCTTTCCCCATTGATCAGGGCCAGGAAGCTGCTGGCATTGAGGTACAAATCATCATGGTGGGGATCTGGGTACGAACAGCAGTTAGAAAGATAAAGAGGCAGGGAGGGGAGACAAGACTGGGGGACTGGAAGGCCAATCAGAAGGCTACAGCAATAGACAAGGTATATAGTAATAAAATAGTAACAATAACAATAATAATTATAAACATGACAGGTAACACCTTTATTTAGCACCTACTATGCTAGGTACTGTTCAAAGTACATTGCATTCATTAACTTAATCCACACAACCACCCTGTAGGATAGGTACTATATTACTACTTTACAGATGAGGAAAACAGAAAGGTCAAGCAACTTGCCCAAAGTCATCCATCAGAGTCACCTTTAAACCCAAGTAGTCTGGGCCCAGTTTCCAGGTCTAGAAAACTACAGTAGCTGTTTGCAAACTATGACCTATGTGCCAAATCCAGCCCACTGCTTGTTTCTGTAAATAAACTTTTATTGGAGCACAGACACAATCATTTATTTACATATGCTGTATGGCTGCTTTCACACTACTGTAGCTGCATTGAGTAGATGTGACAGAGAATATGTGGTCTGCAAAACCAAAAATATTTGCTATCTGGCCCATTGAAGAAAAAGTTTGCCAACCTGTGCACCACACTATACTCTCTGAGGCAATAGTGTAATACACATGAAGCATTTTGATCAGTGCCTGGTCACACAGTAAATGCTCAATAGATGTAAGTTATCATCTTTATCACTGCTGTTGGTTATGCTAGAGGTGGGAGCAGCAGGCCCTACCCTCCAGGGTGCCCTCTCCATGGAGGCCCCAGTTTGGCATCTTCTACTCACCATGCCAGTAGTTGCAGATGGAGAATTCCTGGCCCCAGGGGCTATAGCAGATTCGGTAGAGGTTAGACCTCATGGAGGTGGGGAAGAGCCACTTCAAATAGTCTGTATCTGGCAAAAGAACAACAGTGCCATGTGGCCCCAAACCTTTATGTCACCAAAACCTAGGGCCCTCTATGGAGCCCACAGTGCCCACTCACCTCCATACTGTCCCATCTGTGGAGAGGAGAGAGAGATGAAAGAATCCACATTGTGCTCATCCATGACAGAGAGCAGTGCCCGGCATACCAGGCCCCCTGGAGTCAGAACACCACATTGAGCAGGGACGCAGGGACACCCAAGCCAACAGCCTCCCCATTCCACCCCCACCTCCAATGTATATAAAGGAGACAGGCCCAGAGAAAGCAGGCAGATCCTGCGGCAAAAGGTTACGCATCATGTGAGTAAGAGCCAGAATTAGATTCTGGGTCTCCTGACTCTGATTTTACAGTGCTTTTTATTGCCCCACTATCTCTTATGTCCAAAAACCATGGGTAATGGGGAAAGGGAGCAGTGGTGCAGGGAGCTTCCGTCCTGTTCCAGACAAAGACAAACGTAAGACATAGGTGCTGAGGGAAGTCAGCAAAGGAGGACTCAGGTACCAGGGCTCTGGCTGAAGCAATTCAGTTCAGAAAAGGGGACACTATGATGTGTCCCTCAGATAAGGATCAAGCCTTGGATAGGGCGGGCTTAAGAGTTAGAGGGGGGGGGTGCCTACCCTGGGAGTAGCAGATGAGATGCACCCCTTGAGGGGCCTTTGCCATGATGGGGGCCACAGCCTCTCCAAACCCTTGCACCTGTTCCCACAGGGGCCGCAAGCTCTCTCTCCCATCGAAGAGATCGAGCACAGTCACCACAGTCCCAGGGTGTGTCTGTGGGAAAGGGGCAATGCTTCAAACAGGGATGGACTATGAAGCCCCTCCTCACCACCCCCTGGCCAGCGTCCACATGCCTACTGTGCCCTTCTGGAACCAGGGATCTCATCTCTCCCCACACCAGCATCAGCTCCCCAAGGAACTGGGCAGGCACAGAGGGGTAGGTTTCAGCTCCCCATTCTCCCTCCCTGGCCACTGAGACACCTCCAACACACCACAACCTGGTGTCCCCTGCCAGACCTCGTTGATGTATTCCAGCAGGTGGCGGAAGCTATACGAGCTGTCAAAGAGCCCGTGCACAACGATGACGGGCTTGTAGGACGCGCGGTGGGGCGCGGGGGCTGCGGGCAGCAGCAAGGTCAGGAACGGCAACAGGAGGAGGAGCCCCGCCGGGAGGAGCCCCGGACCCGGCCCCAGCATGCTCCCGCCTGAGAAGGGACGATGAGGGCCTGTGAGAGAGATGACAACACCCCCTCCCCTCGGAACACACGCCCGCCAATCAAGTCTCCCCCGCCTGTGCCCACAATAGGTCCTTGTCACAAAATAGCGTACTTTTAACTTTAGTCCTCTCCTCACAAATACCCCCAGACCTCGCAGACCCACCAGCGCTCACCAGAAGCCCTGCCCCCAACTCAGCAGGGACTCGTCTGGTCTTCCTAACGCATCATCCCAGCCATGCCACGACCCGGGGTCTTACAAGTAAGACCCAGAGCAGCGGCGCAGGTCCCTGAAAGTGCAAATTCCCACCTGGCCTGTGTTCGTGAGCCCAGCTCCGCCGGCTGTTTACTTCTCCCCAGTCTGAAACCCAGTGGGGGAGGGTGTGAGGAGGGCGCGCGCAGGGGAAAGACTGATGGGAGAGGGGAGGCTGCTGGGGTCGCGCTCAGCCATCACGTCCGGGGCTTTCCCTGGCAACCGTGCGAGCGTCCCCCGTAAAGCAGGCCCAGGACCGGAGGGGCATTGGAACATTCTATTGAGGCCTAGGAGCGGGGGAGGGAATAGGCGGAGCGATCCATTTAGACAGGGGGGGGAGAGGAAGAACACGTTCTGGGAATCGAGAGGCTCTCCAGCCCCTGCGGCACCAGCTACCCAAGGGTCCGATTTCCCAGCCTTGATTGGCCCCGATGCCCAATTCCGGCGTCCGGCTCCAGAGCGGACACGAATTTCTTTTCCCCCTGTGGGGCGCTGGGAGACACTGGGTAAAGCAGTTCGCATTTCGTCTTAACGCCAGATGAAGCCAGAAGCCAGCTCAGGCGGATCCCTCCCCTCCAACCCAGCCGGCCCGCCCACCTGCCCCAGGTCAGCGTCTTACAACTCTTCATTCGAAAGTGCTTGTAGTGCCCTTGTCTCCAGACACGCGGAGAGTCCTCGAGGCCCCTCGAGCTAAAAGTGCAGCTGGCCTAGTTTCTGCTGCCCTACTCCACTCCACTCCCCATATACTACACACCTCCAAGGGGCGGAGGGCCCCTGGGGCAGCGCTGACTCACGCTCGCGTGGCTTCTATGAGTCTTTGAACCTGAACGACCCTCATAATCCAGAACCTTACCTGGGAGCTCCTGGGAGCGGCTCCCAAACCAGTCTCCAGCCCGGTCCACACTTCTGAACTCCGCGCGTCCAGCACCTCTGTGCCTGTGATCCCTACTGATAACTAGGTGCCCCTGTTACTTTTACCTAGTATTTAAAGACATTTCCTTTGAGAAAAGAACTTCGCAGCTTGTCTGAACCCCTCCCTCCGTTCACAAGGTCTTTGCCCGTTTAAGTCCCGGGAGAGGAATTGCCGGGGCAAAATACCTCTAAAAACCGAAATAAGTCAAAGGGAGAAATGAAGTTTAAAATCCGTTTATTGCTCACAAACTGCAGTCCTGGACAGTCTCTCTTTCCTGCTCCAGCAGAAGCAAAAAACGGCCTTCCCCTCCCCTCACGGGTACAGGTAAGCCCTCGTTGCCTAGGTAATTACCCATTGATATGGAGATGAACTTCTCTCCACCCCTGAGGAATGGCTCAAATGCACTAAAGCCATACCTCTTTCTATCTCTGAACGCCTATTGATAAGCAGACGTACCAAAGCCAGGCGAGACATTCTGGAAATACTACAATTTTACCCACGGCCGGACTAAAGTCTCTCCCAATAAAACCAGTTGCACCCGGAACTGTGTGGACTGTGGATGGGATGAGGGCAGGTAGTCAGGAGCTAACGCCTTAGAAACCACAGCGACCGGTGTGGGGCCATGATCTAAATATCTGGGGCCTAGGGCTGGCCCAGGCGAGGGCCTCTGCCATAGCTGAGCCCCCCACTTACCTCCCGCTAGGACACAGAGGGGAGGGACACAGCCCGGGAGAGCAACTGCCTCACGTGGAGGCTGGGAAGTACACACTAGTCTGAAGGTGGGAGGGTTGGGGAGGAGTAATGATTCCGGCTGTGTTTTTACAAAAAGCCTAACTCCTGTAAGCCTATCTTCATCTCCCCAGCTATGTTCTCCCAAGATGCAATAAGCAAATAAAGACTGCTGTGCCTCCAGGTCAACTCAGAAGGCGGCGCTGTGCCTTGGCAGGGCTGGGATTTAGAGAATGGCTCTGAACACCAGCGAGCCCAGGAATTCTAAGAAGCCCAATAATCAAGGGGGAAGGAGGACCAAGCACTCATTCCCAAACCGAGCTGCCAGAAATGAATAGTTGAATCATCCCCTCCTTCTCCCAAAGGGCTTCAGCTCCTTCACTCCAGGAGGGTATCCATACATTCCCCAAGCTTCCTGTCCTTCCCCACCCATACCCGCAGGCCTAACTACCTCTGATCTAATGAAGACCTGAGCCGCCCACTTACCTCCGGATTCACCCCAGGCCACAACTGTGGGAATATTTCAGGCCACTGCAGGTCTCACCTCTGCACACAGTTCTCTCCCATGCACAGTAGTTACCTTTCCTAGAGTAGGGTAAACTGGGGCCAAGGATTTGGAACCTTGCAGGGACTCAGAGGGAACCTGAGGAGGGGAAGAACTGATGGTGCGCAAACTGGAGTATTGAATCCACTGAGCACCTGCTCCCTTCCTCCCACAATATAATCACTACAGCCAGTCTTGGAGGGGAAGCCTCTATAGAGAATTTTCTCCTTCCTTCCCTTAGTTCCACCCGGCCATGCCTGGTCTTGCTTGCCTCCCTGTTTCCATGACAACGCCAAGGGAGCCCAAACTGGGGGCCTGAATGCCAGAGTGAGAGGAGGAGAGAAGTGATCCAAAGCAGAGAGAAACCGAGTGGGGGTACATCTAAAGCTCCCCTCCTTGCCTCTGTCCCTTTAAGCTCCCCCCCCTCCCTGCTCTCCCTCCGCCCCACGTCCCCCCTTTTCTCCTCTGTCTTCATCTCTCCATCTCTGCGCTGCTGCTAGCTGCGCAATCTGCGCACCCAGACTCCGGTCCCAGACGGCGACCCCGACTCCAGGTGCAGCGACCCAGTCCCAGAGAGACCATAGGCATGTCATCTGAAAAGTCAGGTAAAAAACAAAACCTCACACCCTCTCCAGCGTCTCCAGACTCTCCCCCAACCCTTGGCCCCAACCTCTGGCCCCAACACCCTCCCTTACCCCTTCCTAAAGGATGGTTCTATTTCATTCCCCTTCTATACAGCCCTCAATGCCCCCAAGACCCCCACCTCTTTCTATACCCCTCCCTTCTCTTCCTTTCCTCCTACCAGTCTCATCCTCGACCCCTTGCCAGCAACATGGGCAGGGGTCAGGTTGAGAGGGTGAGGAAAGTACAAAAGTGGCTTAGCATCAGCCAGGTCCTGCATGGATAGCATCATTGGGAGTGACAGATGGACAAATGACACTGGTTTGAATGGAGACATTCAGTGGGGAAATAGGGAGACATGATCAGATGGGGGTTCTCGGGGGAGTAAAATCCCTAGGATCCTTCTTTATCTGCTGTAAAAAGGGTACTGAGATTCCCAGAGTCTAGGGCACCCCCTGCCCACTGCAGGAACGGCAGAGAGGAACATGTTATTCTACACGTATATACAACTGTTGAACTGAGCACATGTTAAGGTGGTGCAGCATAGCTATACATGGGCACACACAGGACTAGCTCAGACAGGCAATCCCAAAGGAAGGCATAAACCAAGGAGGAGAGGATATTGGTCTGCAGGTGAAAGCTGTGTGCATGTTGCTGAAGAAGGAAGAGGAGCAAAGGAGGGTGGTGACCTCAAAACTAGATTGAAAAGAAGAAGGGGGGCAGATGGCCTAGAAACTCCCCCTCCCCTGCTCCAAGAAGGACAGATGGTTTCTCCTGTCTCTCTCATTAACTTTCTCCATCCCTGACCCTCTCTGTGTCCCACTACCCTCTTCCTTATGTCCTGTCTGTCTTATTTCTCCCCATGTCCTCTCCACTGCTCACCGTCCCAGGCCTCTCGGACTCAGTCCCTCACACCTCTCCACCACCCTACAATGCCCCCCAGCCCCCGGCCGAACCCCCCGCCCCGCCCCCACAGACCACCCCCTCCTCACACCATCACCACCACCACCACTACCACCAGTCCGGCACAGCCACCCTCCCACGCTTAGGGGCAGGCGGCCTGGCTTCTGCGGCTGCTGCTCAGCGCGGTCCCTCATCCTCCGCCACTCTGCCGCGGCCTCCACACCACGCCGCGCCCGGCCCGGCCGCTGGGGCACCCCCACCCGGCTGCGCTACCTTGCCCCGCATGCCACCCGACCCTTACCTGCAGGAGACTCGCTTCGAGGGCCCATTGCCCCCGCCGCCGCCGGCCGCCGCCGCCCCGCCCCCGCCGGCGCCCTCTCACACTGCCCAGGCCCCGGGCTTCGTGGTGCCCACGCACACGGGGGCTGTAGGCACACTGCCACTGGGAGGCTACGTGGCCCCTGGCTACCCCTTACAGCTGCAGCCTTGCACTGCCTACGTGCCGGTCTACCCGGTGGGCACGGTGAGTATGGGGTGCACAGGGGCCAGGGAAGAGGGGGATGGAGGCATGATGGAACAGGACCTCGAATTGGGGACATACTGGGGGACGGTAGGATGGAGAAACAAGGCCAGGGAACCAGGCGGCGTTCCAGGGGCAAGGCCTAGAGATAGGAAGGACTGGGGCAAGGCCTGGGAATGTGTGTGTGAAGGCGAGAGGGGTGCCTGGGTCAGTTGTGGTCAAAGATCAGGGCTGGGAGGGGGAACAGGGCCTAGAGGCCCAGAGATTTGAAAGAAAGAAACAGCCTGGAGGGAGGAGGAGAAATGAAATCTGGGAACCAAGGGAGGTAGAAAGAAGGGAGAAGCAGCCTGGGACTGAAGGAGTTAGGGGAGGCCAGGGCAGAGCTGGTAGGGAATTTCCCTGGGGGAGGGAGTATGGAGGCTCCGAAGAACATGAGATTAATGACAGCAGTGAAGGGAGGAGAGGGACGTAGGTTGAATTTATGGGTGTCCTGGAAGCCTAGTGGATGATAAGCTTCTTTGAGAAGCAATGAAAAAAGAATTGTGCTTTAAAAATCTCTCTGCCAAGATGAGAAACATTGATAGGCTCAGAAAGGGTCAGACTGACATCCTCGCCGCCCAAACTTCTTCCCACAGCCCTATGCAGGCGGGACCCCAGGGGGAACAGGAGTAACCTCTGCACTTCCCCCGCCACCCCAGGGCCCTGGGCTGGCCCTGCTGGAGCCAAGGCGCCCTCCACACGACTATATGCCCATCGCGGTGCTGACCACCATCTGCTGCTTCTGGCCTACGGGCATAATCGCCATCTTCAAGGCAGTGCAGGTGGGAATGGGGGAAGAGGTGGCGTCTGGGAAGGGGAGCTCACTCGTTTTTCTTACTCCTTGGGAATCCTGGGCCTTCGGAGGAGCACTTAGAGGGGGTTGAGGCGTGCTGGCGAGGCAGCACAGCTCTAAACGACCTTCCTCCACCCTTCCCCCGCAGGTGCGCACGGCCTTGGCCCGCGGAGACATGGTGTCGGCCGAGATCGCTTCACGCGAGGCCCGGAACTTCTCCTTCATCTCCCTGGCGGTGGGCATCGCAGCAATGGTGCTCTGTACCATCCTCACCGTAGTCATCATCATTGCAGCACAGCACCACGAGAATTACTGGGATCCATAAGGACGCCCCCGCCCAGGCCCCACCCTGCGCCCCTCGACCTCCCAATCGCGTTCGGCAGTCACGCTGAGAAACCAATCGGCGCCGTGCACACCTGCCCTCTGGGGCCACCGGACCTCGATACTTCCTAAACTCGTCCTCCTCGCCTTGCGAGGTCCTCAGGAACCCCGAAAAAACAACACACTTCCAGAGACGCCTTTTCCCGGGATCCCTGCCATACGCCAGACCCTCAGTCGCTGCAGGCCCCCATCCCCTCTAACTGCAGTTCCCCAGCTCAGCTCCCTCACTCTCGGCTCCCCAGCCTGCAGACAGCTACCCAAGGCCCCGCCTCCCAGGTAGGCTCCGCCCCGTCTCCGGCACAACCCCGTCTCCAGGTCGGCAGGCTCCGCCTTCTTCCTCGCGGGGTGATTCAGTCCGGTGATTGGGTTTGTGGCTCCAGGCCCTGCCCCCAGACCGGCAGACTTCTCCCCTACTTCCGGCGCTAGGGCAGAGCCTCGAGGCAGCCACGCGCCATGTTCACTCGTGTTTTTGCTGGTACAGTTCTCTCTCTTCCACCTGGTGGTCCGCCTATTTTCTTGCTAATTCCAGAATCTCTATTTTTGTTTGAATGAGATTTGGGTGGTTCCCAGTTTAGCACCCTTCACGTTGGGATGAAGAGTACGTCCCTGTTTTCTGTACATACTCCCACTTTTCTTGCCCCCAGGGCAGTTGAGCAGAAGGAAACCCAGGGTACAGACCTCCCAACGTCGGGAGGGAGCCGGCTGCTCTCCGCTCCCCTCGGCAGTCCCCACCTTGCTCTGATCAGTATGTGAGTCTGTGTGTGAATTTCTGAAAGACAATATTAAAGAGACTAAGTGAATTTATCACTTGCAATTCGGAAGACTCCTGCTTGCAAAGACCCTCCTGTTTTGGTTCCCCTTTTCACATTCCCTCATATCCCCTTCCAAGGTGAAAAAGAAAGAAAACAGACAGAGACAAAAGTAGGAGGAGACAGTCCCAAGACACCGAAGAGACAGACACAAATTGGAGGTGGGGGAGGCTCCCTGGGAATGGGAGTCTTACCAGGGAAGACCTTGAGGTCCATTTTTGGTGGGTCTTCCTTTCCCCAGTACACCTTTTCCACTCGCTACCAGTCTGGGTTTAGGACTTTGGAGAGGGAGGAGACCCAGGGAGCTATCCTCAGAACTCCAGGAAGTCAAGAGGAAAGAGGGCAGACTATTCTGAATAAGTTGATCAGGGATAGGGCGGCAGAGCAGGGAAAAGATGACAACTGTCCACAGCTGTTCCTGCCTGTGGACTGGAGGGTGGGAGACTGCTTGGATTAGAGCCCTATGTGTTGTGCTGTACCAGTATAGGAAAGGCAAAACGAACAGAGAGCTTGTGGGGGCCTGTCTCAGTCCATTCTGGCTGCTGTAACAAAAATATCACTGACTGGGTGGCTTATAAACAACAGGAATTTATTCCTCAATTCTGGAGGCTGGAAGTCTGAGATCAGGGTGTCACCAAGGTAGGGTGAGGGCCTCTTCTGGGTTACAGACTTCACATTGTAACCTTTCATGGTGGAAATGGCTGTGGGATCTCTTTTATTAGAGTACTAATCCCATTCATGAGGGCTCCACCCTCATGACCTAAGGACATCCCAAAGGCCCACTTTCTGATACCATCACATTGCAAATTAGTATTTCATCCTATGAATTTGGGGAGAAACACAAAGATTCACACCACAGCAGAGCCCCAGGCAGGTCAATAGCCTCTTAAGTCCGGCTGGGGCTAGTTGCCCTGTCCTACCCTTAAGTCAACCAGGAGGAGTGGTGGAAACACAAGCAGTGTCTTGGTGTCTTCAGTTTACACCCACAGGATAGGGTTCTATTCTGAACTTGTACATTCATACAACATGCAGACACCATGCAGGATGCTGGTGACATATCTGCCAAGACAGCAGATGTGAACACTGACCTCATGGAGTTTATAATCTGGAAGGAAAGCCATGCATTGGGGGAGGATGGGACGGGGTATGAAAATGGGTTCTCCTTTGGCCTTCCTCACCTGACTTCTTGAAAAAAGAATGCACACTACCAGCTTCCGTTTCCTTACCACCTAGACACACACACACACACACACACACACACACACACACACACACACACACACACACCACAACTTAAACAGGAAGATTGTTGTGAGATGTGTCTGAGTCTTTCCTTCATATCCACTATTTTTTAATCTTTTGAAATATGCTTCCCTTCCCTGCTCTGCTGAAACTGCCCTCTTAAATAGCACCCAATGGCCAGAAGTTACCAGGAGCCAAAATCAGTGGCATTTTCATAGTAATCTGCCTCTCTGAACCCTCTCATGTTTGTCCCTTGGCCTTAGGGCCCCCACTCCCCTGGAGTTCAGGGACATGTTATCTCTTCCCCCTCTACCTCTACATATACCTCTAATCATTCTCCCTTCCCTACCCCCATTTTTTTCTCCTCTCTCCCTCTAGATGTCTATCTCTGTATTTTTTCCTTCTCTGAGACTTTCTCTTGAAAATATCATCCACTCCAAATTCAGACATCATTTCTAACCAAATGCTGCCCCTAAAAGGTCTCCCTATTTCCTCTTTCTCCCTTCTCCAAATCTCCCTCAACACTGCTTAGGTTATCCTCCCAAACACACTTCTTATATCACTCCACTGCTCAGATTTCCTACTGTTTGCTCAATTATTTAAAAAATTTTAATCTGGCCTTCAACCCCTTCTGTATAATTTCAAATCATCCAGCTTTCTCTCCAACCTCTTCTCCAAACTGAATTACTCATCATTGCCACCTTCAGATCTTTACCCAGCTGTTCTCAAATCTTAGACCACTTTTATTCAATTTCTGCCTATTGTAAACCAAATTGCTACTTGCCATGGATTTCAGACCACATCTAAGCTTTTGCTCACAATTTTCTCCCCCCACTTCACATCTGCATTTCCACTTGGTCAAAATTTACCTATCCTTCAGATCAATTCATCTCCTCACTCCAGCAAGGAAGAATCTCTCTCTCTCCTACAGGACACCCGGCTGCGCTACCTTGCCCCGCATGCCACCCGACCCTTACCTGCAGGAGACTCGCTTCGAGGGCCCATTGCCCCCGCCGCCGCCGGCCGCCGCCGCCCCGCCCCCGCCGGCGCCCTCTCACACTGCCCAGGCCCCGGGTTTCGTGGTGCCCACGCACACGGGGGCTGTAGGCACACTGCCACTGGGAGGCTACGTGGCCCCTGGCTACCCCTTACAGCTGCAGCCTTGCACTGCCTACGTGCCGGTCTACCCGGTGGGCACGGTGAGTATGGGGTGCACAGGGGCCAGGGAAGAGGGGGATGGAGGCATGATGGAACAGGACCTCGAATTGGGGACATACTGGGGGACGGTAGGATGGAGAAACAAGGCCAGGGAACCAGGCGGCGTTCCAGGGGCAAGGCCTAGAGATAGGAAGGACTGGGGCAAGGCCTGGGAATGTGTGTGTGAAGGCGAGAGGGGTGCCTGGGTCAGTTGTGGTCAAAGATCAGGGCTGGGAGGGGGAACAGGGCCTAGAGGCCCAGAGATTTGAAAGAAAGAAACAGCCTGGAGGGAGGAGGAGAAATGAAATCTGGGAACCAAGGGAGGTAGAAAGAAGGGAGAAGCAGCCTGGGACTGAAGGAGTTAGGGGAGGCCAGGGCAGAGCTGGTAGGGAATTTCCCTGGGGGAGGGAGTATGGAGGCTCCGAAGAACATGAGATTAATGACAGCAGTGAAGGGAGGAGAGGGACGTAGGTTGAATTTATGGGTGTCCTGGAAGCCTAGTGGATGATAAGCTTCTTTGAGAAGCAATGAAAAAAGAATTGTGCTTTAAAAATCTCTCTGCCAAGATGAGAAACATTGATAGGCTCAGAAAGGGTCAGACTGACATCCTCGCCGCCCAAACTTCTTCCCACAGCCCTATGCAGGCGGGACCCCAGGGGGAACAGGAGTAACCTCTGCACTTCCCCCGCCACCCCAGGGCCCTGGGCTGGCCCTGCTGGAGCCAAGGCGCCCTCCACACGACTATATGCCCATCGCGGTGCTGACCACCATCTGCTGCTTCTGGCCTACGGGCATAATCGCCATCTTCAAGGCAGTGCAGGTGGGAATGGGGGAAGAGGTGGCGTCTGGGAAGGGGAGCTCACTCGTTTTTCTTACTCCTTGGGAATCCTGGGCCTTCGGAGGAGCACTTAGAGGGGGTTGAGGCGTGCTGGCGAGGCAGCACAGCTCTAAACGACCTTCCTCCACCCTTCCCCCGCAGGTGCGCACGGCCTTGGCCCGCGGAGACATGGTGTCGGCCGAGATCGCTTCACGCGAGGCCCGGAACTTCTCCTTCATCTCCCTGGCGGTGGGCATCGCAGCAATGGTGCTCTGTACCATCCTCACCGTAGTCATCATCATTGCAGCACAGCACCACGAGAATTACTGGGATCCATAAGGACGCCCCCGCCCAGGCCCCACCCTGCGCCCCTCGACCTCCCAATCGCGTTCGGCAGTCACGCTGAGAAACCAATCGGCGCCGTGCACACCTGCCCTCTGGGGCCACCGGACCTCGATACTTCCTAAACTCGTCCTCCTCGCCTTGCGAGGTCCTCAGGAACCCCGAAAAAACAACACACTTCCAGAGACGCCTTTTCCCGGGATCCCTGCCATACGCCAGACCCTCAGTCGCTGCAGGCCCCCATCCCCTCTAACTGCAGTTCCCCAGCTCAGCTCCCTCACTCTCGGCTCCCCAGCCTGCAGACAGCTACCCAAGGCCCCGCCTCCCAGGTAGGCTCCGCCCCGTCTCCGGCACAACCCCGTCTCCAGGTCGGCAGGCTCCGCCTTCTTCCTCGCGGGGTGATTCAGTCCGGTGATTGGGTTTGTGGCTCCAGGCCCTGCCCCCAGACCGGCAGACTTCTCCCCTACTTCCGGCGCTAGGGCAGAGCCTCGAGGCAGCCACGCGCCATGTTCACTCGTGTTTTTGCTGGTACAGTTCTCTCTCTTCCACCTGGTGGTCCGCCTATTTTCTTGCTAATTCCAGAATCTCTATTTTTGTTTGAATGAGATTTGGGTGGTTCCCAGTTTAGCACCCTTCACGTTGGGATGAAGAGTACGTCCCTGTTTTCTGTACATACTCCCACTTTTCTTGCCCCCAGGGCAGTTGAGCAGAAGGAAACCCAGGGTACAGACCTCCCAACGTCGGGAGGGAGCCGGCTGCTCTCCGCTCCCCTCGGCAGTCCCCACCTTGCTCTGATCAGTATGTGAGTCTGTGTGTGAATTTCTGAAAGACAATATTAAAGAGACTAAGTGAATTTATCACTTGCAATTCGGAAGACTCCTGCTTGCAAAGACCCTCCTGTTTTGGTTCCCCTTTTCACATTCCCTCATATCCCCTTCCAAGGTGAAAAAGAAAGAAAACAGACAGAGACAAAAGTAGGAGGAGACAGTCCCAAGACACCGAAGAGACAGACACAAATTGGAGGTGGGGGAGGCTCCCTGGGAATGGGAGTCTTACCAGGGAAGACCTTGAGGTCCATTTTTGGTGGGTCTTCCTTTCCCCAGTACACCTTTTCCACTCGCTACCAGTCTGGGTTTAGGACTTTGGAGAGGGAGGAGACCCAGGGAGCTATCCTCAGAACTCCAGGAAGTCAAGAGGAAAGAGGGCAGACTATTCTGAATAAGTTGATCAGGGATAGGGCGGCAGAGCAGGGAAAAGATGACAACTGTCCACAGCTGTTCCTGCCTGTGGACTGGAGGGTGGGAGACTGCTTGGATTAGAGCCCTATGTGTTGTGCTGTACCAGTATAGGAAAGGCAAAACGAACAGAGAGCTTGTGGGGGCCTGTCTCAGTCCATTCTGGCTGCTGTAACAAAAATATCACTGACTGGGTGGCTTATAAACAACAGGAATTTATTCCTCAATTCTGGAGGCTGGAAGTCTGAGATCAGGGTGTCACCAAGGTAGGGTGAGGGCCTCTTCTGGGTTACAGACTTCACATTGTAACCTTTCATGGTGGAAATGGCTGTGGGATCTCTTTTATTAGAGTACTAATCCCATTCATGAGGGCTCCACCCTCATGACCTAAGGACATCCCAAAGGCCCACTTTCTGATACCATCACATTGCAAATTAGTATTTCATCCTATGAATTTGGGGAGAAACACAAAGATTCACACCACAGCAGAGCCCCAGGCAGGTCAATAGCCTCTTAAGTCCGGCTGGGGCTAGTTGCCCTGTCCTACCCTTAAGTCAACCAGGAGGAGTGGTGGAAACACAAGCAGTGTCTTGGTGTCTTCAGTTTACACCCACAGGATAGGGTTCTATTCTGAACTTGTACATTCATACAACATGCAGACACCATGCAGGATGCTGGTGACATATCTGCCAAGACAGCAGATGTGAACACTGACCTCATGGAGTTTATAATCTGGAAGGAAAGCCATGCATTGGGGGAGGATGGGACGGGGTATGAAAATGGGTTCTCCTTTGGCCTTCCTCACCTGACTTCTTGAAAAAAGAATGCACACTACCAGCTTCCGTTTCCTTACCACCTAGACACACACACACACACACACACACACACACACACACACACACACACACACACACCACAACTTAAACAGGAAGATTGTTGTGAGATGTGTCTGAGTCTTTCCTTCATATCCACTATTTTTTAATCTTTTGAAATATGCTTCCCTTCCCTGCTCTGCTGAAACTGCCCTCTTAAATAGCACCCAATGGCCAGAAGTTACCAGGAGCCAAAATCAGTGGCATTTTCATAGTAATCTGCCTCTCTGAACCCTCTCATGTTTGTCCCTTGGCCTTAGGGCCCCCACTCCCCTGGAGTTCAGGGACATGTTATCTCTTCCCCCTCTACCTCTACATATACCTCTAATCATTCTCCCTTCCCTACCCCCATTTTTTTCTCCTCTCTCCCTCTAGATGTCTATCTCTGTATTTTTTCCTTCTCTGAGACTTTCTCTTGAAAATATCATCCACTCCAAATTCAGACATCATTTCTAACCAAATGCTGCCCCTAAAAGGTCTCCCTATTTCCTCTTTCTCCCTTCTCCAAATCTCCCTCAACACTGCTTAGGTTATCCTCCCAAACACACTTCTTATATCACTCCACTGCTCAGATTTCCTACTGTTTGCTCAATTATTTAAAAAATTTTAATCTGGCCTTCAACCCCTTCTGTATAATTTCAAATCATCCAGCTTTCTCTCCAACCTCTTCTCCAAACTGAATTACTCATCATTGCCACCTTCAGATCTTTACCCAGCTGTTCGCAAATCTTAGACCACTTTTATTCAATTTCTGCCTATTGTAAACCAAATTGCTACTTGCCATGGATTTCAGACCACATCTAAGCTTTTGCTCACAATTTTCTCCCCCCACTTCACATCTGCATTTCCACTTGGTCAAAATTTACCTATCCTTCAGATCAATTCATCTCCTCACTCCAGCAAGGAAGAATCTCTCTCTCTCCTACAGGTTGGACTGAAGCAGTGGGTTTCTAAATGGAGCTCCAGGCATTCCATGGAGCAATGATACTTACCCCCTGGCTACACATTAGAATCATCTGGGGAGCACTTAAAAATCCCAAAGCCCAGGGTAGCATCCTAGACCAATTAAATCACAATCTCTAGGGGTGGGACTCAGGCATCAGTATTTTTTAGACATCCCCAGGTGATTCCAAAGGGCAAGTAAGGTTGTTAATCAGAGGTTTAGGGGCACTTGAGGGACCACCAAAGGGTAGGTGACAGGACAAAGGGTATGGCTTCAATCAGCGCAACTTTCTTTAGGAGAAAGGTATCTGGATCTCAAACTTACCCATTGTTCACTTTATCAGCATTTTTTCCCATCTCTTCCCACCTGAGATTCTGATGTACTCACCTTAACCTTCTGAACTAGAAGGCAGGAGCCAAATCTGGGTCAGCTCTGCTTTTCAGATAAAACCTCTTCTCCCAGTCATTGAACTCAGTTGAATTGGAAGGATCAGGCAGAGGAAAAAGAATAAAAATGACTTCTCCCAGCTCTCCGCACCTCACCCAGACTTCTCCCTCAGGAAGTGTATTCCAACTTGATTCTCCTCCCACCTCACTTCAGCTTCCTCCGAACAGAACATGCTGTCCTTGCCCCTTGCACTCCTATCAGCAGACACTCCGTCCTCCAGGAGAGGTCCTGGTCCTCTCACCTGGGAGCTCTGATTCCCCATGATTCCCCTCTGGGTCATCATTCCCCCTCACACATTGAAGATTCAGCACCTAGCTCACTGCCTTCCTCTCTGCCACTACCTCGGCCATTTCATTATTTTTGGTGGCATCAGTACCCCATGTAAATAACCGTCCAGCACCTTGGTGAACTCCTTGCCTTCCTCGCCTCCAGTGATGTCTTTCCCTACTCCCCAGCACCCACTTCCTGTGTCATACCTTAGACTTGGTTACAACCATAACCACCACCTCTCCAAAATCTCTTCAGTCTTTTCATGTCACCCCCTCCTGTCCTCAGTACCACTTTTCCAAAAATTCTTCAACCCCATCCAGACCTCCCATTCATTGACTCTCTCTTACTCTTCTTTGATGTTTGATCCTCACAAATTTTCACTTTCCTTACTACCAGGTGTGGATCCTAGGGGTCAACACTGTAATTGTCTCTCAGCTCTTGCCTTGTGTTCTTGGTTCCTTTTCCTTTCACACATTTTATCCCTGTTTAATACAACCCTGCCTACTCCACCCCTGCACCCAGTGGCTATTTCGTGGCGGAAACACGGCTGCACTGACTGCACTCACTTCCTGTGGGCTCTCAGCGCAGCCTGCAAGCCCATCTTTCTCCAGTTGGTTTATATTCCCCAAATTTGAGATGGCAGTTTTGCAAGATGATGATTTTTTTGTCCTCTTTCAGTGGGCAAATAGAAATTTTCAGAAAAGCACTTCCTCCTGGTCCCCAAATTTTACCAGGCCACCTGCATCTCTGTTGTGTTTACTGCCTTCCTCTTGTTACTGCAAAGAAGCTGACCTACTCCCAGCCCCCACCCCATCTGGGCACTGGGCTCCTGTCCCTTCTCATCTGCTCAGACAAGGGACTCTTGACATTATCCCATCTCTCCCACACAAACAGTTTCACCCTTTACTGAAACATACCCATCAGCATACAGACATATAATAATGCAGCTTGACTCTGAGAAGAAAATCCCCACCTCATTTACTACTTACCTATGTCGTAGAAGCACAACATTCCAATGGTGGTTACCCTTTGGCAGGAGAGGAATTCTGACACAAGACACGTGAACAATAGCAGGAAGATTTTATTTCTTAGACTGCATGATGTTCATTTAATGACGGTAATGTATATGTGTGCAGGTTGAGCAACTAGACCTATCAACAACATTTGATATACTTGATCACTCCTTCCTCCTTGATATGCTTTCTTTGCTTCAAATGCTCTTTCTGTATCCAACTAAATAAAATACTTCCTAGTTCTTTATTTGCTACTCCTTCTCAAATTAGTCTTCATGAACAGCTCCTACCCCTCTTCTGGACTCCTAAATGTTAGAGGGCCTCAGGGCTCTATCCTGGGCCCTCTCCTCTACCCAATTCAAGCTCCATGCTACTATTGTCCCTTAAGCAGCCCCTTAATTGGATTTTTTATTGAGAGAGTTCTGCCTCCATGCAGATACCAGAGTGCTCTTTCTAATTACCAGATGATATAACTCACCTTGCTCAAATCTGAGGGCTCCCCGTCACACTTAGAACAAAATACAAAATCCTCAGACTAGTCTATGATGCCTTCCTGGCCTTGTTCCTCCTCACTTCTCTCTAACTTCATCCCCTCCCACTCTTCCCCTTGCTTATGCTGTTCCACACATTCTGGCCTCCTTGCTGTCCTTCCAAGCCTATGAACTGAGCATAAAAATCCAATTCCTTTCTGCCTCAGGACCTTTGCACTCCTATTTGTCTTTCCGTGGACACTCTTACTCCAGATATCTGCATGTCAGCTCCCTTATGTCACTTATGACTTTGCACAAATATCACCTCCACAAGGAGGCTTTCCCTCATCACATGACTGAAGACAGCACAATGCCTGGAATTGTGGTCCTGTGGTATGGTTCAAGGCTCAGTAAAGAGCAGCTCCTATCATTAAACATTTCACTGTGGAAAAGTCTGCCTTTCACTGGTGCCTCCTTCCTGAAAACCCAGCCTATAAGAGACCCACAAGCAAACTGCTTTGGTAGCAAAGAGGAGGGGGGAACAATTTTTATGTAAATTCCAGCAGAACTAAAAACCACAGAAACCATCAAAATTGAACAGAAGGGA